GGGTCTCTCTCTTAGTTATTGCCAGGAAGATCCCTGCTAGAGTCCTCCTCGATAGGCTAACTCTACCTGGAAGGTGGTCATCTACCTGAGAGTCAGTGTGGCTTCAGAAAGGACCAAGAAATGGTCAGCATGGTGTTTCCTGCCCAAGAGCTCTAGGAGAAATGCCATGAGCAGAACAGAGGTCTATATACAGTGTTCATTGGTCCCACCAATCAAAGCCTTTGATATTTCTGTCACTCATGAAGGCTTGTTGAAAATTATGGGAAAATTTGGTTACCTGGAGAAGTTTATCAGTGTTCTCTCAATTTTATGATGGCATGCTTGCAAAAGTTCTGCATAATGGGTGATGATCTCAAGCTTTCCAGTCACCCATACAGTGAAGCAGGGCTGTGTGTTTGCTCCATAGTTTTGAGGGGGTGTTTTCAGTGATGTTGTCAGATGCCTTCCGTGAAGAGAAAAATGGCATCAAGGTCAGCTGCCTCACAGGCAGTAAATCATTTTACTTCAAAAGGCTACAAGCTGAGACTAAAGTGGAGGGAGAGTCGGTGTGCAACGTTCTGTTGGCAGATGATTGTGGACTCAGTGCAGTCCCTCAGCTGAGATGCAAGAAAGTGTAGATCAATTGTCTGCCCCTTCTGCTAATTTTGCCCTAACAATTAACACCAAAAAAACCACAGGCTGTTTACCAGCGAGCACCACAAAATCCATGTGTGGAACCATTGGTTATAACAAGTGGAGAAAAAAATTTTTTTGATTGGGCAATGTTAAGTGATTTGCCTAGGGTCACACAGGTAGTAAATGTTATGTGTCTGAGGCTGGATTTGAACTCAGGTCTTCCTGAATCCAGGGCCAGTGCTCTATCCACTAGCTGTCTCGAAATGGAGAAATATTGAATGCTGTGGATAAGTTCACTTACCCTGGCAGTGTACTTTCATGGATGTACACATAGAAGATGAGATTGACGTACCATTGCCAGAACTAGCTCAGTGTTTGGGAGGCTCATAAAGAAAGTGTGAGGAAAAAGAAGTATTGGAATGTCTAAGAAACTGAACATCTGCAAAGCTGTTGTGCTGAACTCACTCTTGCATACCTTTGAATCCTGGACAGGATACCAATGCCATGCCATGAAACCAAATCCTTACATTTGAATTGTCATTCGAAGATTCTGAAGATGAAGTGGCCAAAGTACCCGGCGCTAAGATCCTTTCTCTATCTGAACTGCCAAGCATTCAAACTATACTGCAGAGAGTGTGACTCCAATTGGCTGGCCATGCTTTTTGAATGCCAAATCCATGTTTACCTAAAAGACTATTGTATGGAGAACTCACACAAAGCAAGTTCTCCATGAGGTCAAAAGAAGCAATACCAAGGGACACTTCTAATGTCTCTCTGAAGAACTTCGGAATCACTTGTGTGACATGGGAGACATTGGCAAAGGACCAACCCACATGGTATATCCCTGTCAAAGAAGGCACTGTGTTCTGTGAGCAAAGCAGAATTGCAGTAGCTCAAAAGATATGTGAACTGCACAAATTTAGAGACATCTCCACTCCAAATGTTCGCATGGACTATTTGTGCCTGACTTGAGGTAGAGCTTTCCAAGCTCATATTGATCTGATCATTCACAGTTGAATACACTGTACCTTGACTGCAATAGAGTGATGTCGTTTTGGTCCTTTTCAAGACTGATGGAGAAGGACTACCACCAGATGTGACAGGTAATTTCTTTCTTGATTTTCTAATTTCCGTATGCTGTCACCCATTGTGTCTAAGTCATATCCCTATTTGGAGTTTATCTTTGTATGTGGTATGAGAAGTTGATCTATAAATAGTTCACGTGTAACTGCTTTCCAGTTTTTGAAAAAGTGTGTGTTAAATAGGAAATTCTTACCCGAATAGATGGATCACTGGGATTTATCAAACACTAGGCTACTATGCTTGATTGCTTCTGTATATTTTGTGTGCAGTTTGTTATACTGATTAATCTCTCTGTCTTTTAGCTTTTATTTAGTACTTCGTTTTTTCCTAGTTACATGTAAAACAAGGTTCATTTTTGAAACTTTGAGTTTGAAATTCTCTCCTTTCCTCCCCCCCTTGAAAAAACAAGCAATTCCATATAGGTTATACATATGTAGTCATGCAAAACATATCCATAATAGTTATGTTGTAAAAAAAAACATAGACAAAGAAACCTCAAGAAAAATAAAGTTCTTAAAAATATGCTTCAATCAGTGTTTACACACCATCAATTCTTTGTCTAGGGACGGATATCGTTTTTCCCACAGTCATTAAGTCCCACAGAATTGTCTTGAACCAGTGTATTGCTGAGAGTAGCTAAGTCATTCACAGGTGATGATGTTACAATATTGCTGTTACTTTGTACACAGTACATTTCACTTTGCATCAGCCCATGCAAGTCTTTCCAGGTTTTTATGAGAGCATCCTCCTCATAATTTCTTATAGTACAATAATATTCCATCATAATCACACACCACAACTCATTCAGCCATTGCCCAAGCGATGGGCATCCCCTTAACTTCTCATTCTTCACTCCCAGAAAAGGGCTGCTGTATTTTTTTCACATGTAAGTTCTTTTGCTTTTTGTTTTTTCTCTTTTGGGATACGTAGCTAGTAGTGGTATTGCCAGGTCAGAGTTTCATACAGTTGTGGGTATGGCCTACGGAAGACCTGAGTTAAATCCAAGTTCAGGCACTTGCTAGCTGTGTGACCCTGGACAAGTCACTTCACCCTAGTTGCCACATCTATAAACTGGGCACCATAATAGCACCTGCTTCCCAGGGTTTGTGTGAGGAACAGGTGAGACAGTCAATGTAAAGTACTTAACGGTGCCTAGAACAGAGCAAGCTCCGAGTAAACGTCAGCTGTTAGTTTTATGTAGTCCATCTACCAAAAAACCGTCAGTCATGAGGTAAGGGGAGATAGGGAGGGGGCGGGGCTCCTGGCAGGAAGGTCGGTGAGGAGAGGGGCAAGCAGGGATGCAGGACCGCATTCCAGCCCGGGGGAAGGGACGAGACCTAGGCATGCGCACAAGGCGCCTCAGCCTCCAGACTACGATTCCCAGAAGGCCGTGCTAGCTTCAGGGGCATTATCCAAGCTCAAGAGCGGGCGGGGCTTCCGTTCAATTAGGACTCTTTAGGTTCCTTTTCTCTCCGCCTCTTCAAAGCTTGCTGGTTCCGGCGTCATCTTCTATATCCTGGGCTGTAGTGTGACGGGGTGAGCAGGGCCGAGAGCGGGGCGAGGCCCAGGCTGAGTCGGTGCGGGGTGCGGGGGGGTCGGAGTATCGGGGGCTGGCTGGGGAGTACGCGGAGAATGGGAGGATCGTCCGCCAGGGGACGCAGGAGGCCCCTGAGGGCCTTCTAGAGGTCTGGGGCGGCCGGTGTTGGGGCGAGGGGCGGGGGTTGGAGGCCGAGCGGGCGGAGGCGGAGCCTCGGGGCGGGGTTTCATCCGCCGTCAGTCACCCCCGCATCCAGTGACCCTGGTCAGGGCCTGCCCCTCCAGGTTTTTGTCCTTCACCCTTGCCCAGAGTCCCAGGGAACGTGCTACCGGCCTGTGTCTGTCTGGTCCTCACTCCTCCTCCCAGCATCCTCCGGGAAGCCCTCCCTGATGCAGTCTGGGCTACGTACCTTCCCCCTGCTGAAAGGGTCATCTGTCTGTCCTCCAGTTTATCTCTAAAGAGATGCTGACCCCCAGAAAGTCCCCCCCCCCAGAGAGAAATGACCGCTTCCTTTTGGCCCCATCCGACCCCCCAGCCCCTACCACCTTCCTGATCTCCCCACAGTGGATAAGTGGGAATGTCTGGTCTGAGCAGGGCAGACCCGCCACGTGACCCCTCACTGTCCTGCGTCTCCTTTCCTCCCCAGCTCTGCCTTCTGTGGCCTCTGCTCTGCCCCAGGAGGACAGCCTAGAGGAAGAGGAATGGCTCCTGCCCTGACAGCCAGGCCCGGGAATGTGAGTTCCACTTGCAGCTTTCCTGAAATAGCATCTCAGGCCAGAGATTGTGGGATAGGTTTCTTTGTTCTGTGCTGTAATGACGGGGCACTTGGGTGCTTATACGTGGACCCCAGTCTCTCCCTAGTCTCAGAAACACTGTCCTTGGCAGCTGCTCCCCAGCCCCATGGACCCTGTGCTTAGCAATTAGTCATGAGTGGGCCCCAGGGAGACCCTTATCTCTCTCCCTGATGCAGTTCCAAACAGCACCTGAAGGATTTATTAGTTTAAACTGGCTTTGCACTGGGTCATAAAGACTTTCTTACCCACTAGTATACTATCCTACTGCCCTACCTCATTATCTACATCCTGGGTTCCTCATTATCAGTATTCTAGACTTAAGACATATGTACACTCCCTACATCTATCTTGTCTAACAAGACATTGATTGGTGGCAGCTGGACAACTCTCAGTTGTCCCTGAACTCTAGTTGACTTAGTGACTTAGCAGGCCTAAAACCACACCTTCATGTGGCCTCCCTTGTGGGCTTTTCCTAGTGAACTCTGGGTAAAACGCCTGCACAGTAGGTACAAGAAGTGCATGTTCTTTTAAGAACTGACCACTCCTTAACCACTCCCTAATCCCCCCCTGAATCCCCTAGTTAGCATATTTGGCACATGTTTTATTGTATTTTATCCTATATAAACTTTAACTGTACCTCTCTAAGGTTGCAGGATCCTTTAAGAATCCTTGCCTGCTGAAAAGCATAACAATAAACTTTGCCACCTTGGCTTAAAGAATGCTTGAGTCTGTGAATTCATTCCAGATGACCCATGTATTTCAGTCTTTCAGGGGTCACAACCTCTCAACCTCTCAGCCCGCAACAGTAATGCTAGGAATTGTGGGCATCAGAGAATCATAACCACAGACACCAATGTATCCTCTCCCCACACAAAAAAAGACCTAATTACATTTACTTTAGGTTAATGGAAATGGAGAATAAGGGAGTAATCCTTGAAGGAGGGGCAGGTTAAGTAATTGGAGGGCAAGGTATGGAATGTAAGTAAAGTAGAAGAGGTAGGCGGGGTAGGAGATGAGAGGTAGCACAAACGTGAAAACAAAGATCAGAAGAAGAATTTGTTACAGAAAGTGTATGTTTATGCATGTTCATGTATATCTATATATAAATGTTTCTGTGCTTAATTATATCCTGGGCGGGAGATAAAGATGGAAAAAACAAATAAAAAGTGCACAGCAGAGAACAAAAGAAAACCAACAAGGAAGCAAACCAGAGATGAACAGCACACTGCACTAAGTGTAGTATTTATTATATGGCTTTCTTGAAATGGAAATTTGTTGCTATATATTTTGAATCTTCTTACATTCTGCTCTGCACATGTCATGCTTTTTTCTCCTTTCTTATTTTGTATGTAAGTTAAAATATTTAAGTTAATAATATGTTCTTTTATTTACATTTACGTTTCAGTAGTTAAAAAAAGGAAATAAATAAATGGGAACACTTAACAAATTATGGCATGTAGTAAGTGATTATGATGAAATGTTGTTGTCCAGTAAGAAATGAAGAGCAGGATGCTCTCAGAAGAACCTGAAAAGACTTACATGAGCTGATACAAAGTGAAATGTATTGTGTACAAACTAACAGCAATATTGTAAGATGATCAGTTGTGAGTGACCAGCTATTCTCTGCAATAGAGTGATCCAAGACAACTCTGAAGGACTTATGATGAAAAATGCTATCCATCTGTGGAGAAAGACCTGATGGTGTCTGAATACAGATTGAAACATACTTTTTAAACTTTAGTTTTCCTGAGGTATTTTTTTGTTTGTCTTTTCTTTCACAAGACTACAAATATATTACCTATATCAAATTGCTTGCCTTCTCAGAGGTGGGGGAGGGTAGGAGGGTGGGAAGAGAGAAAGAGAAAGAATTTTCAATTCACAGTTTAAAAAGTGAATATGAAAAGTTGTTTATACATGTAACTGGGGAACATAATAAATATTATTTTATTTAAATTTTTTTTTTTGGTGAGGCAATTGGGGTGAAGTGACTTACACAGAATCACACAGCTAAGTGAGTGTTAAGTGTCTGAGGCTTGATTTGAACTCAGGTTCTCCTGACTCCATGGCAAGTGTTCTATCTACTGCGCCACCTAGCTGCCCCCTGAAAATAATACATTTTAAAAAATTTAATGTAATCAAAGTTATCTGTTTTACACCTCACACTACTGTTACCTCTTATTCATAAATTGTTTGCCTATCCATAATTCTGATACGTTTCATGTTTCTAATTTTCTTGTTGTATCTCTCTTTATATCTAATTCATGTATCCATTTGGCATTTAATTTGATGAATGGTGTAAGATACTGATCTACACGCAATTTCTGCCATTCTGCTTTCCAGTTTTCCCGAGAATTTTTAGCAAATAATGAATTCTTTTTTAAATTTTTAGTCAGTTAGGATTAAGTGACTTACGCGGGGTTACACAGCTAGTAAGTGTGAAGTATCTGGTCTGAGGTTGGATTTGAACTCAGGTCCTCTTCACTTCAGGGCATGTGCTATATCTATTGTGCCACCTAGCTGCCCCCAAATAATGAATTCTTATCCCTGTACTTTAAGTCTTTACGCCTGTCAAATACAAGGTTATTCTATTTATTTGTTACTGTAAATTGTGTGTCTGTTCTGTTCCATTTATCTACCTTTCTATTTCTTAGCCAGAACCAGGTAGTTTTGATAATTACTGCCTTATAATATAGTCAAACTCTGGCAGAACCCTCCTTCCTTAACATGTTTTTCATTAGTTTCTTTGACATTCTTGACTTTTTGTTCTTCCAAATACATTTTGTTATTTTTTTCTAATTCAGTAGAATAATTTTTTGGTAATTTAATTGGGATAGCATTGAATATATAAATTAGTTTAAATAAAATTGTCATTTTTGTTATGTTGACCCTGGCAACCCAGGAACAATTAAAATTCCTCTAAATCAGTTTAAATCTGATTTTATTTGTATAAAAAATTTTTAATAATTTTATTAATATAGCTCATGGATTTGTTTTGGCACTTGTGCTCCCAGGTATTTTATATTGTCTAGAGTTATTTTAAATGGCGTCTCTTTTACTGTCTCTTCTTGCAGGGTTTTGTTTATGCTATGTAGGAATGCTGATGAATTAGGTGGATTTACTTTATAACCTGCTACTTTGTTAATTATTTTAACTAAAGTGAGTGGGATTTTCCAAGTATATCATCATGTCATCTGCAGAAAGAGATAGTTTTATTACCTAATTGCCTATTCTGATTCTTTCTATTTCTTTTTCTTCTCTTATTGCTGTTGCTAGGATTTCCAATACAATACTGAAAAATCTTGGTAACAGTGGATATCCTTGTTTCACCCCTGATCTTCCTGGGAAGACTTCTAGCTTATCTCTATTACAAATAATGCTTGCTGATGTTTTAGATAAATGCTTTTTATCAATTTAAGGAAAAATCCATTTAGACCCAAGAGTTTTTTTTAAATAGAAATGAGTGGTGTTCTTCATCAAAAGCTTGTTCTACATTTATTGATAGCATCATGTGATTTTTAAAAACTTTTATTGTTAATATAATCAATTATTTTAATACTTTTCCTTACGATAAATCATCTCTGCACTCCTGGTATCAATCCCATGTGATCATAATGTATAATCTTCAGGATATATTGTTGTAATCTTTCAGCTAGTCTTTTATTTACGATTTTTGTATCCATATTCATTAATGAAATTGGTCTGTAATTTTCTTTCTCTGTTTTTACTCTTCCTTGGTTTTGGTGTCAGTATCACATGTCTTTCATAAACAGGAGTTTGGTAGGATTTCTTTTTTGCCTATCAAAATAATTTATGTAATATGTTGGATAGAATTCACTTGTAAATCCATCTGGTCCTGGTGCTTTTACCTTAGGAACCTCGTTTATCGTTTGTTCAATTTCTTTTTTTAAAAGAGGTCTATTTAGATATTCTATTTCCTCTTCTGCTAATCTAAGCAATTTATATTTTTGTAAATATTCTTCCATTTCACTAAACTGTTAAATTTATAGGCATATAATTGGACAAAATAACTACTTTTTTCACTAAATTTTATTAATTTCTTTTGATTTATCAACAGTCACTTCCATATGCTTTTGAGTTCAAATTTTCTCCACCTTCCTCCCTACCACCTTCCCCAAGACGGCACAATCTGATATAGGCTATACATTTACATTCCTATTAAACATATTTTCACATTAGTGAAGTTGTAAGTAAAAATTAAAACCAATAGGAGGAACCATCAGAAAGAGGAAACAAAACTCAACAGAAGAGAAAAAAATGATAGCGATTCAACTTCCATAGTTCTTTCTTTGGATGGATAGCTTTTCCATCACGAGGCCTCTGGAGATGTCTTAGATCCTTGTAATGCTGAGAAGGGTTAAGTTTATCAATATTAGTCATCACAACTGGCTGTTATTGTGTACAAAGTTCTCTTGGTTCTGCTCACTTCACTCAGCATCAGACCATACAAGTCTTTCCAGGTTTTTCTGAAGTCAGCCTGTTCATCATTTCTTATAGCACAATAGTATTCCATTACATTCATATACCACAACTTGCTCAGCCATTCCCCAATTGATGGGCATCCTCTCAATTTCCAATTCTTTGCCACCACAAAAAGAGCTGCTATGAATATTTTTGTACATGTGGGTCCTTTTCCCATTTGTATGATCTCTTTGGGATATAGCCCTAGAAGTGCTATTGCCACATTTTTAGCCCTTTGGGCATAGTTCCAAATTGTTCTCCAAAATGGTTGGATCATTTCACAACTCCATCAAAAATGCATTAGTGTTCCAATTTTCCCACATCTTCTCCAACATTTATCATTTTCCTGTTTTGTCATGTTGGCCAATCTGATAGGTGTGATGTGGTACCTCAGAGTTGTTTTGATTTGCATTTCTCTAATCAACAATGATTTAGAGCATTTTTTCATATGCCTATAGATT